ACAAAAATCAGTGTCATTTCCGAAAAAGAAATCAAGAAACTAATCCCATTTACAATAACTACAAATAAAATAAAATACCTAGGGGTTAACCAAATAAGTGAAGGATCTCTACAATAAAACTATAAAACATTATATTAAAAAAATTGAAGAGGACATCAAAAAAATGGAAAGATATTCCATGTTCATGGATTGGAAGAATCAATATTGTTAAAATATCCATACTACCCAAAGCAATCCACATATTTGATGCAATCTCTATGAAAGTATCAATGACATTCTTCACAGAAATAGAAAAAACAATCCTATAACTTATATGGAACCTCAAAAGACCCACAATAGCCAAAGCTATCCTAAGCAAAACAAAACATTACCTAACTTCAAATTATACTACAGAGCTACAGTAAACAAAACAGCATGGTACTGACATGAAAACAGACATATAGACCAATGGAACAGAATAGAGAAACCAGTAACAAATCCATATATCTACAGTGAACTTGTTTTCAACAAAGTTACCAAGAACATACATTTGGGAAGACAGTCTTCTCAATAAACGGTGCTGGGAAAACTGAATATCCGTACGTAAAAGAATGAAACTAGACCCCTATTTTTCACCATATATAAAAATCAAATAGAAATAGATTAAAGACTTAAATTCCAGACCTCAAATTATGAAACTACTATACGACAATATCAGAGAAACAACAGAACATTGGTCTGGGCAAAAATTTCTTGAGTAATACCACAAAAGCACAGGCAACTAAAGCAAAAAATGGATAAATGGGATCACATCACATTAAAACACTTCTGCACAGCAAAGGAAACAATCAAAGAGACAAACCACCGAATGGAAGAAAATATTTGTGAACTATCCATCTGACAAGGGATTAATAACTAAAGCATATAAGAAGTTTTAACAACTCAATAGGGAAAAAAATCTAATAATCCAATCAAAAATGGACAAAAGAGCTGAAGAGATATTTCTTAAAAGAAGACATACAAATGACAAACAAGTATATGGAAAAGTACTCAACATCACTGATCATCAAAGAAATACAAATCAAAACTACAATGAGCTACCATCTCACCCTCTGATATGGTTTGGCTGTCTCCCCACCCATATATCATCTTGAATTGCAATTCTCACAATTCCCACAGGCAGTGGGAGTAACCAATGGGAGGTGATTGAATTATGGGGATGAGTCTTTCCTGCACTGTTCTCTTGATAGTGAATGAGTCTCACAAGATCTGATGGTTTTAAAAAATGGGAATTTCCTTGTACAAACTCTCTCTCTCGTTTGCCAGCTGCCATCCACATAAGATGTGACTTGCTCTTCCTTGCCTTCCATGACTGTGAGGAACTGCATGTGGAACTGCAAGTCCAATAAACCTCTTTCTTTTGTAAATTGCCCAGTCTTGGGTGTGTCTTTATCAGCAGTGTGAAAATGGACTAATACACTACAGTTAAAATGGTTTTTATCCAAAAGACAGGCAATAACAAATGTTGGTGATGATGTGGAGAAAAGGAAACCCTTTTGGGAATGTAAATTAGTACAACCACTATGGAGAACAGTTTGGAGTTTCCTGAAAGAATTACAAATGGAGATAGCATATGATCTAGCAATCCCAGTGCTAGGTATACACCTGCCAAAAGAAGGAAATCAGTATATCAAAGAAGCATCTGCACGCTCATGTTTACTGAAGCACTATTCACAATACCCAAGCTTTGGAAGCAACCCAAGTGTTCATCAACAGACAAATGGATAAAGAAAATGTGGTACATAGAAAGACAATGAAGTACTATTCAGCCATGAAAACAGAATGAGATTTTGTCATGTCCAACAACATGGATAGAACTGGAAGTCATTATGTTAAGTAAAATAAGCCAGGCACAGAAAGACAAACTTCATATGTTCTTTTTTATTTATTTATGGAAGCTAAAAATGAAAACAATTAAACTCATAGAGACAGAGAGTAGCAGGATGGTTACCAGAGGCTGAGAAGCATACTAGGGACCAGGAAAAAAGAAGATTTGATTAAAGGTACAAAATATACAAATATTTAATAAGATCTAGTATTTGATAGCACAACAGCATGACTACAATCAATAGCAACTTAGTTTTAAAATAACTAAAATAGTATAATTGGATTGTTTGTGATACAAAGGAAAAATATTTAAAGTGATGGATACCTAATTTACCCTGATGTGATTATTACACATTATATACATGTATTAAAATATCCCATATACTCCACAAATACATATACCTACTATGTAGTGATAACAATAAAAAATAAGAATTTCAGATTTGCAAGATAAAAAAGTCCTGATATGTTTCACAACAATGTGAATACAGTTGACACTACTGAACTGAATTTAACATTTAAATTTCTTCAAGTAACAACTGCCTGCTTGAAACAAAACAGTAATGATTTATTTTGTATTTAAAAGTAAAAATGATGACAATAAAAGCATTACGAATGGAATGAAAGATGGAAGTACACTATTAAGATTCTTACACTGTACATCAAGTAATACAGCATTAACTGAGGGTAGATGGTATATTATGTAATGCTGTATACAGTAAGTCACAGAACAACCAATAAAGTAATGAAACAAAGGGTTACAGTTAATATTCCAACAAAGGAGAGCAACTAGAATCATAAAAATATAATTCAAAAGAAGGCAGAAAAAGAGAAAAGAGGATCACAAACAGGTGGGACAAACAGAAAACAAATAGCAAGATGATAAACACATATCTAACCTGATTAATAATTCTACTAAAATTAAATGGTCTAAACACCCCAACTATTAATAAAAGGCAAAGATGGTAAGATTTGACAAAATCAAGACCTAACTACATGTTGTGATGAAGAAATGCATCGTTAAAGGTTCAAATCGGTTTAAAAAATAAAAGGGTAAGAAGACATACCATGACAGGTTAGTTAAAAGAAAACTGGCCTGGACATTTAGATTTCGATATTTAGATATTTAGATATATCAGACAATACAGATTTCAAAGCAAAGAAAATTATCAAGGATAAAGAAGATCACTTCATGATGATAAAGGTGTCAATTAATTATGGTGACATAAAACCCTAAATATCCGTGTACCTAATAACAGAGCTTCAGAATATGTGAAGCAAAACAAAACTGATGGAACTGCAAGGAGATACATACAAATTCAATTACAGTCACAGATTTTATTATCCCTCCCTCACTTCTGATAAAACAAGTGAGCAGAAAAATGGCAAGGATACAGTAGAGCTGACCAATACTATTAACCAACTTGACTTAATGGAGAACCAACTGTTCTTAATTTACAGAACAGTCCACAACATTTACAGACTAGCAGAATACACATTCTTTTGTTGTAACACTCTTAAACTTGGTACATTTACCAAGATAGATCATATTCTGTGCCATAAAATAAATGTCAATAAATTCAAAAGAATTCAAGACATATATAGCACACTACTTTTTTGCCACAATGGAATCAAATTAGAAATCAGTAACAAACAGTTCCTTGGGAAATCCCTAAATACCTGGAAACTAAATACAATTCAAAATAACCCATGATCAAAGGGAAAAGAAGTGGGGATATTAGAAGGTATTCTGAACAGAATAAAAATGAGTTTTTGGTAGGAGTTTTGGATGCTGCTGAAGAGTATTTAGCAGGAAATTTATAGCACTATATGCTTATATTAGAAAAAAAGGTCTTAAATCAATGACCTCGGCTTCTACCTTAAGAAATTTTAAAAAGGAAAGGAAATCAAGCCCAAAATAAGCAGAAAGAAAAAAACAAAAACAGGTTGAGTATCCCTAATCTAAAACTTTGAAATCTGAAATGCTCTAAAATCTGCACCAGCATTATGCTCAAAGGACATGCTCACTGAAGCATTTTGGACCTCAGATCAGGGATGCTGAACCAGTAGAATATAACGCAAATATTCCCCCCCCAAAAAAAAAAAAACCCGAAATCTGTAATGCTTCTTGTCCTAAGCATTTCAGAAAAGGGATACTCAAACTGTGCAAAATATTAAAACAAAGATCAGTAAAATAAGAAACACAAACATAGAAAAATTAATAAAATTAAAAGGTAGTTCTTTGAGATGAATAAAACTAATTTTTAGTCCATCTGATCATGAATAAAGGATATAAATTATCAATACCAAAAATAAGAGGTGATATCACTAAAGATTCTAGATATCAACAATGTAATAGAATATTAAGAACTTTATGCCAATTAATTTGTTGACAACTTAAGTGAAATGACAAATTCTTTGAAAGACATAAATTATTAAAGCTAACTCAGGAAAAAAAAATTGATGACTGAAATGGTCCTATTTTAGTGACACTGAGAATGTAGTTAAGAATGCTTCCAAAATAAAAAGTCTAGAACCAGAGGGATTCACTGCCAAATTCTACCGAACATTTAAGAACTAAACAATGCCAATTCTACATAAATTCATTCAATAAAATTGAAGAGGAGAGAACACATCTCAACTCATCCTTTGAGGCCAGCATTACCTTAAAACGAAAACTTGACAAATATATTAGACAAATATCTTTTTAGATAAAGAAAACTGTAAGCTAGTATCTCTCAGAACATAGACATAAAAATTCTAAACAAAATTTTAGCAAATCTCATTACACAATATATTAAAAGGACAATCAATTATTACCAAGTGGGTGTACCCCAGGAACCCAGAGTTGGTTTAACATTCATTTCTCCCATATGTTAAACCAACATTTGTGTGTGTGGTGTGTGTGTGTGTATACACATATACTGTATATATACATCTGTGTATACTGTATACAGTATATATACACAAATGTTTGTGTGTATATACTGTGTATACACAGTGTATATATATATATACAGTATATATATATATATATACACACACACAAATGTTGGTTTTTCATATACATATGAGAGAAATGAATGTTAAACCAACATTTGTGTGTGTGTATACACACACACACACAAAATGTTGTCATATTCTTTTTCTGTCATATATATATATATGACAGAAAAAGAATATGATTAAATTTACTATCCATTCCTAATAAAAATTCTCAAGGAGCTAGGAAGAGAAACAACTAAATGCTTTCTAAGATCAGGAATTATCCATTCTCATCACTTCCCTTCAACATTGTGCTGGAGATTCTTAGCCAGTGCAATCTGGAAAGAAAAAGAAATAAAAGACATCCAGATTTAAAAAAAGAAGTACAGCAGTGTTTATTTGAAGACAACATGATCACCAAGTAAAAAACCCAGTGGAATTAATAAATTAGTCTATGTAAGGTTGCAGGGAACAGGATCCACATCCAAAAATCAACTGCATTTCTATACGTTAACAACAATCAGAAACAGAAACTTAAAAAAAACAGCACTATAATAGCACTGAAAATAGAAAATACTTGGAGACAGATTTGACAAAAAACATGAATGACCCCTGCACTGAAAAGTATAAAATACTGCTGAGAAAAATTAAAGAAGAGCTATATAAATGTTCATGGGTAGGAAGACTCAATATTGCTAAGATTTCAATTCTGAATTTTCCCAAATTATCTCTAGATTGAACATAACCCCAATCAAAATCTAAAAATGCTATTTATAGAAACTGAAACCCTAATTTTTGAATTCAGACAAAAATGCAAAGGGCCTAGAACAGAATAGTCAAGAGAACTCTGAAAACAAAAAGTAGAGGGCTAAAACTATCCGATTTCAAGCTTTATTACAGAACTGGACTAATCAGAACCTCATAGTATTAACATAGATAAATATATCAATGGAAGAAGAGAAAGTTGGAAACAAATGCATATGTAGAGGTGAATGCATACATGTATATATAAACATGCATTTATATAGATGACTCATTTTCAATTTTATTGAGATATAATTTTCATATCATAAAGTTCCCAATCACCATAATGTGATTTGAGAACATTTTCATCATGCCATAAAGAAACCTTACACTTAGTAGCAGTCACTCTCACCCTCTCACCTCCAGCTCTAGCAACCACTAATTTTTCCATCTCGATAGATTTTCCTAGTTTAGACATTTTATATAAATGGGATCACACAATATGTGGTCGTTTGGGATTGGCTTTTCATTTGGCATAAGAGTTTCAAAGTCTATCCACATTATAGCTATACTTCTTTCATTTTTATTGCCAATATTCCTTTGTACGGATATGCCATGTATTATTTTTCCATTCATCAGCTATTGGATATTTGGGGTGCAAGTTTCCAAAGTGTCTGTACCATTTTACATTCCTCACCAGGAACATATGGGGATTCTAATTTCTACACATACTCACCAACACTTGTTTTTATCTGTCTTTTTTTTTAAATTATAGCCAATCTAGTGAGTGTGAGCTGGCAGTTCATGGTTTTGATTTGTATTTCCCAATAACTATGATTTGAGCATCTCTCATGTGCTTATTAGCCACTTGCATATTTTCCTGGGAGAAATGTTAATTTAAATCCTTGTCCACTTTCTAATTGGATTGTCTTTTTATTATTGCGTTGTAAGAGTTATTTATATATTTGGGATACAAGTCCCTTATTGAATATGATTTATAAATATTTTCTCCCATTCTGTAGCTGTCTTTCCACTTTCTTCATAGTTTTTAATTATGATGACATCCAACTTATCAATCTTCTTTTACTGTTTGTTGGACAACTGATTTGTGACAAACATACAAAGGTGATGCAATGAAGTATACAGCCTTTTCAACAAATGGGTATCCACGTTCAAAAAAACTAAGCCTTGCACCATACACGACAATTAACCCAAACTGGATCACAGAGTAAATGTAAATCTTAAAAAATTATAATTTTTCTAGAAGAAAACAGAAGGAAATCTTTGTGACCTTGGGTTAGGCAAAGACTTACTAAGTAAGACATCAAAAGCACACTCCATAAAAGAACAAACTGAAAAACAGAAATTCATCAAAATTTAACACTTCTGGCCAGGTCAGGAGTTTGAGACCAGGCTGGAAAACATGGTGAAACCCTATCTCTACTAAAAATACAAAAATTAGCCGGGCATGGTGGTACGAACCTGTAACCCCAGCTACTCGGGGGGCTGCTTGAACCCAGGAGGCGATGGTTGCAGTGAGCTGAGATTGTGCCATTGCCTTCCAACCTGGGTGACAAGAGTGAAACTCTGTCTCAAAAAAAAAATTTTTAACTTCTCTTTAAAAGACAATGTTAAGATGAAAGGACAAGTTACAGACTTAGAAAAAATCTTTGCAAAGCCAGTATCTGACAAGAAACTTACATCTAGATTATATTAGAGAACACTCAAAACTCAACAATAAGATAACCCAATTTAAAAATTTGGTTTGAAGAGACCACCAAAATTGACACACAGACAGCAAACACATGAAAAGAAGCTCAATATTATGAGTAATTCAGGAAGTGTAAACTAAAACCACAATGAAATATCACTACGTACACACCTATTCAAATGGATGAAATGAAAAGACTATCAAGTGTTGGTGAGGATGTAAAGGAAATTGAACCCTTGTACACTGCTAGTGGTAATATAAAATGGTATAACCACTTTGAAAAACAGTTTGAGAGTTTCTTTAAAAAATGAAATGTATACCTAGCATATGATTCAGCCATTCCATTCCCAGGTATTTACCTAAGAGAAAAGGTAATATATGTCCATACAAAGATTTGTACAGTAACCTCATTGCAAGTTTATTTATAATAGCCCAAAACTGGAAAGTACCCAAATATCTACCAATCTATAAATGGATAAAAAAATTCTCATACATCCATACAATAGAATACTATTCTGCAACAAAAAAGAATGAATTTTTGATACACACCAAGGATGAATCTCAAAGTCATGCAGCTGAGTAAAAGGGGCTGGACACAAAAGAGTACATATTATATGATTCTCTTTATATAAGACGCTAGGCAATGCAAACTAATCTATAGTGAAAGCAGAAAGCAGACCAGCAGTTAGCAGTTTTGTGGGGAGGAGGTGGCAAGGAGGGGGAGAAAATGAGGGACTTCTAAGGGAGATGAAGAAACTTCTGGGGATGATGGATATGTTTACTATCTTGACTACAGTGGTTGTTTCATGTGTGTGTATATATATATCAAAACATCAAATCCTTTAAATATGTACAGTTTATTATACATCAAGTATACCTATTTAAAAATCCCTGTTAACAGGTAGAGAGGAAAAAAAGCAGCTCAGTGAGAAAAGCATCAAAAAAGTATACAAAGAACTTTTGTTAAGATGTATGACTGACTCAAGACTAGAACCTGTAAACATATGCTAATGAGGCCAATTGCTAAAAATTACTTTGAGACAAATGAGCTAATGTTTTCTGAACAGTAGTATGAGACCAGTTCATACTCACACCTCTTCAATAAAGCATGCACTAGTGAAAATTCTGGGCTTCTATCCATTTGTGCCAGCCTATCGACTCCAGGGGAATTACAGCCTTCCATTTTGTTACACTAACACAGGTATAGGTTAAAAACCAGGAAGGCATCCTACAAAGGCTGAAAGATCACAGACAAGAGGTAGTATTTGTGAAACCAAGTCTGTCCAGATTCTGACAGCTAATCATAGGCCATCTCTAGTAAAGTGACAAGGCCACTTTAAACAAAGATTTTCTTACGGCTACTCTCCCATATTTGCCAGTCTTTCCTGAGCTACAACTGTAAATCTAAACTGAGTATTCCTCAAAGAGTACAGAACATAGACATCATTTTTATGGTATGATTCAAACTCAAATGCAATATAAAGTTTTAATGCGGGAGAAGAGAAAAATATTATTGCAGCTTCGGCAAAGGAAGATGTTTTTATACTAGTGAAGATAAAGATTTAAAGGCATATAAATCAGTGTACCAGGAATGAGAGGAAGGTAATACAAAAAAAAAGGCATATATACATGTCACATTTGACTTTAAAATATATGTCATCTTACTCGCTTAAAAGATCATGTGTGAAATGAGTTAGAGAATGAAAGAAAACTATTAAGAGTACAAAAGTTAAAAAAGCCTAAGATCACAGGTGCTCTTGGCTAGGAATCTGCATATATAGAGATCTTATTTCAACGAGAGCCAGCAAAGAAAAGTAACCATTTTGAAGACATATTTGTTAAGTTCAATAACTCCCACTTGTGAAAAAAGCAAATGGTAAAAGATTTTCCTGTAAATAATGAATCAAATTGAAGTTTTCCATGATGAAATTTAAACGGAGCCAAGTCAATAATGACAGAAAAGATTAGTTACTGGTATAATTATCTATACTAATTATTCTCTATACCAGTAAACTAAGGGCTAAGGGAACATGTCAGCATTGTTTTTCAAATGTCAACACCTTAGAGCTTAGTAACAGAATGGTTACTAGAAATGATGGAATCAGCTCACCCTTCTCGTGGCAGCTACTCCTCTCCCTCACAGATATTCCTCTCTTCACAAAAATTTCAAGAGTCAGTAGATATTCCGTCTCTATTTCCTCACTGCTTCATCTGCTCCAGTATGGCCTTAAGATCCATCAAAACAACTGGTGACCTACAGGTCATTTAATCCATCCAGTACATGCATTTTTATTAGGTGCAATACTGTCCCCAAGGAGGCAAAAAAAAAAAAAAAAAACAAAAACCACCCTAGATATTACAGTTTGTGGCTCTCTAAAAACTCACAGTACATAAACAGAATTATACCCATGTATTAAAATTATACTGGGGGGCAGTTAGAAAAAATGTCTAAAAAGGTTCAATAGGGGAACAATAATGAAGTCAAGGTTGAGAAACACTGATGGAACATTTTTCAGTCCTAATTTTACTTGCACTCTCAGACACACTTAATATTGCTAATCACTCCCTCCTTCCTGAAAGTTTTCTGTTCCTCAGCCTCTGTGATGTAAGACTTTCCCTGAATTTTCTTGCATACTTCCCTAGACCTTTCTCTGTCTTCTTTCAAGACCATCTGCTCTACACTAGGTGTTCCTCAAAGCTCAATTTTAGGCCTTCTCCTTTTCTTACTCTATTACCTTCTCCCCAGGTGACTTTATGTATGCCCTCTGCTTCAGTTACTATTTACTACCATCTATAACTCACAAAGCTATAGCACCACCATAGATCATTTCCCTGAGATTCAAACCTACTTATCTACGTGCTAATTTGACATCTCTCCTTTGATGTCTCACAGGTATTCTCCTGGGAAAAAAATAAACAGCTTTGGTCAGATTCACAGGTTAAGAACAACTGCCAAATAGTAGTTTTGGAAGGGATCATAAAATAAAAAATGATAATGCAAAATTTAAAAAGTGATATAAACAATTATTCTATAAGTTTCTTCTCTAATAGCTTCAAAGCTTTGTTGTAAATACATGTTTTAGCTGATACACAATAGAAACTAGACTAGGTCAGAAATCAGTATGTCAATTTATCTGTTTCTCCTAGAGCCATGGTGTGAATACAATTACAGTGGTTCTCTGGCTATGCTAAAAGGTATTCTGAAACCAGCATCAGGCTTTCAGTAAAAGAGAGGTAAGAATATAAAAGACTGCAAATGGGTATTTGCACAACTAAAAAACAAGTAGATGTCAATATTTACATTTTGAAGAGAACCCTGAAAATAAAGTGTTATCACAGGGAAACTGGATTTAAAATATATATTCTTATAATTTCAACAACTTAAAAACTCTTGTTAGTCATCGTTCATATGATAGTGCCACAGTACTAATCCTTTACAAAGTTAAATTGAAATAGAGATCTAGAACCAAAAGCAAAGGCTATTTCCGAAGCAATCACAGAAATCTGCCAATATCAATACTTTCAAATAAAAGGATTTCTGCTTCTAAGATTAAGAAACAGGTTTATTTACTTCAGGAGTGAAAAGAGGTGCAATTTCTCAAGGAGGTGGAAGAAATATGCCTCTTTGGTATAACAGGATTAAGGTCTAATTTAGCAGTCTAACTTTTTTCTTGCTGATCCTGTTTTTCTGTTCAGCCTTTCTTCTCTTCTCCCCCAGTTCCAAGATTCTGACAGTATTCTTCCTTATGACTTCCAAAGGAATAAATTCGAATGTTTGATAGCAGAGTAGGGTGAATATAGTTAGCAAAACGTATTGTATCTTTCAAAATAGCTAGAAGAGAGGACTTGAAATGTACCCACCACATAGAAATGACAAATACCCTGACTTGATCATTATGTATCTAACAAAATGTCACATGTACCCCACTAATAAGTACAAATACAATGTAACAAAAAGGAGAGAAATCGCTATTAAGAACAATTTGACATTTCCTACTGGTACCTCTACTTGGATTCCTTTAAGGACTTCAAGTTCAATAAGCTGCAAACCAAGCTTATCCTCGTCATCTCTACCCCCTTCCTGGCAAATCTGTGTTATAGTACCCCATGTACCTGGTGGCCTAAGCCATAAATCTGAGAGTTATCCTTGAATTCTCCTCCAACAAAATCCTATCAAGTCTCTTAACCACTCTTAACTACCTCTTCCTCTTTGCTTCTCTGGCCTTACGTGGCAGGCCATGTTGTAAACTTCAAAGACATTTACAACATCTGGGGTTGAATTCCAGTTCTGTCACTTGCTAACTGTAGTCTTAATCCTAGGCAAATTACCTAACCTCTCTAGGGCTCATTTTCTCATCTGTACAATGAAATGAATAATAAAATCTACCTTAAAAAGTTACTGAAACAAATAAATAACCTAATGCCCCTAAAGCACTCAACACTATGCCCAGCACGCTGTAAGCAGTGAATGCTAACTACTGCTACCTTGCAGGATTATTGTACCCACTAAGAGGAGATCATCTATGCCAAGTGCTTGATACATTGTAAGGACTTAAAATATAATGATCTTATAAAAATTAATTTCACCTCTCTTCTCTACATATATTATTTCAACAACCTCCTAACAGTCATTTTATCTTATCCTCATGATGCCACTGAGCTCCCTGTTTTCAGGACAAAGTCAAATTTTCTTCTCATGACATAGTAAAGTCTATCATGGTCTTTCCTTATTTTTTAAGGCTCACCTACTGCCAGTCCTTTAGCTCCAATCTCATCAAATTCAGAAGTGTCACATTCTTTCATGAAGCACTGATTTTGCAATGCTATTCCTTTTGCCTAGAATTCCTGTTCAGCCTTTCCCCTCTCCAATTCCCATTTTGTCCTATACTATTCCCACAAAACCTTCAAAACTCAGCTCAGGAAGTAACCCTTTCCTTCTGCCACTCCATATCCCCAACTTTGGCCTTAAAACCGTCTCTGTGTTACCACATATTTTTTACTTTTTTCCTTCTAATGATAAGCAGCAGCTAACATTTATTGAACACATAATATATTTGTTGTGATTCTGTACTAAGCACAACTACATGTTACCTCATTTAATCCTTTCAGCGACTTTATAAGGTATATATTGTTATTATCCTTATTGTAGAAAGCGGAAACTGAGGATTACAGAAGTAACTCTGAAAGTCACACAGCCGGTAGGCAGCAGAGCTGGGACTTAGACGCATTATCTCCCCATGTTCTTAACCACATGCTGTATTGTCTTGTAACACTAAACATATGATATTATAATGGTCTATTTCCAGCCATGTGTCACTCAATTATAGAGACACATTCTTTTAAAAAGTGTATGGTTAGGCAATTTTGTCATGAAAACATCCTAGAGTGACCTTCCACAAACCTAGATAGTATAGCCTATACACAACCAGGCTATATGGTATAGCCTTATTGCTCCTAGGGTACAAACATGTACAGCACATTACTGAACTGGATCCTGTAGGCAACTGCAGCACAACAGTAAGTGTTTGTGTACCTAACATAGACAAAGTACAGCAAAAACACAGTATAAAGGTTAAAAAACAGTATACTTGAATAAGGCACTTACCATGAATGGAGTATGCAGGACTGGAAGATGCTCTGGGTGAGTCACTGAGCAAGTGGTGAATGAATGTGAAGGTCTAGGGCATTATATTACTACTGGAGACTTCATAAACATTGTATACTTACACTACACTAAAGTTATCAAAATAAATTTTCTTTCTTCAATAATAAATTAACCTCAGCTTACTGTAACTTTTTACCTTTATAAATTTTTTTACTTGACTCTTTTATAACACTTAGCTTAAAACACAAACATGTTGTACAGCTGTACAAAATATTTTCTTTCTTTGTATCCTTATGCTATAAGCGTTATCTATTATTTTTTTAACTTTTTAAACTATTTTGTTGAAAACTAAAACATAAATATATGCTAGCCTAGGCCTACACAGGGTCAGGATCATCAATATTATTGTCTTCTGCCACCATATCCTATCCCACTAGACGGTCTTCAGAGGCAACTCATGGGGCTGTATTCTCCTATGATAATGCCTTCTTCTGGAATACCTCCTGAAGGACATGACTGAGGCTGTTTTACAGTTAACTTTTCTTTTAGAAGTAGAATAAATACACTTAAAATAATGAGAAAAAGTATAGTATAGTAAATATATAAACAAGTAATATAGGTGTTTATTATCACCATCAACTATTATGCATTGAATATAATTGCATATGCTATACTTTTACCCAACTGGAAGTATAGAAGGTTTGTTTACACAAGCATCACCACAAACACATGAGAAATGCATTACAACGGCTACATCACTAGATGATAGAAATTTTTCAGCTCCACTATAATCTCATGGGACCAACAGTGTATGTGCAGTCCATCACTAACGAAAACATCTGTATGCGGTGCATGACCGTATTTATCTGCTTCCCCATTGGTTAGTCAAATTTATCTAGTAAAACCCTTAACGACAGGGATTGTGTCTTTTAATTTCTTGCATACCCTATGTCTAGCATCATCTCTACCAATTAACAGATGCTCAATAAATAGCTGCTAAATCAGTGAATGAAATCATGTCATTTTGTTCTTATAACAACTGAGGTAAAGTGGTTATCAATTCCTGTTTATTAAACAGATGTATGATTATTTTAGAATGGTAGGTGGTTTTGTCTTCAAGTTAAATCATATAACTTCCATACAAAGAAGGCATAAATGATTTAGTTTCTTCAATAAGTAAAAGGCAAAATTAATTTTTAATTATTTGCCAACTATCAATACAAGATTAAATCTTCTGATACCATCTGTAAAGCAATCAGACCTTCATATCTTTTTCTGAGGTCAAGAGTATAAACCCAAGAAGAAAAACATTATCTAGTAGGAAATGGCAATAAAACAAAAGCCTTTAGCAAAAAAGCTTTCAAAGAAGGTCAGTAGTATTGCTAAAGAAGTTTCCCACTGACTATGCCATGTGGTAGGCATGTCATAAGAAGATTTAGGTTAGACATAAAACACCCACAGCAGGGGTATGTTGGCTTCAGTTAAATGAACTGAACTAAACTTCCATTTTGTCTTTTACCTGCTAGCCTGTAAAATGCTTACATATGAGCAATACAGAACTGAAAAGATTTTTCTATGCAGATCAGATCAGAATTACGGTTAAAAGATTTGGCAATCATAA